ATGGAATGTAACACATAAAGATTGATATCCCAGGCATTAGTGAGCTGAAATGGACTGGTATTGGCCATTTTGAATCAGACAATCATTTGGTCTACTATGCTGGAAATGACATATTGAAAAGAAAAAGCATCATAGTCATCATCAAAAAGAACATGTCAAGATGCATCCTGAAGTACAATGCTATCAGTGATGAGGTAATATCCACCCACCTACAAGGAAGACCGATTAATACTAGTATTATTCAAATATACCAACTACTAAAGGCAAAGGTGAAGAAATTGAAGATTTTTACCACTTCTGCATCTGAAATTAACCAAACATGCAATCAAGGTGTTTCAGTTATTACTGGTGATTGGAATGTGAATGTTTGAAACAAAGAATCATCGGTAATTGGAAAATATGTCCTTGGTGATAGAAATAATATCTGAGATTGCATGATAGGATTATGCAAGATTGATGACTTTTTTCAACAACATAAATGGCAGCTATACATAAGGACCTCACCAGATAGAATACACAGCAATCAGATCTATTACATCTGTGGAAAGAGGTAAAGGAGAAGCTCAATATCATCAGTCAAAACAATGCCAGGACTTGACTGTGGGTCAGACCATAAATTGCTCATATGCAAGTTCAACTTGAAGCTGAAGAAAATTAAGACAAGTCCACAAGAGCCAAAATATGACCTTTCGTTGGCATATTATTTAATAAAGAATCACATAATGATAATGCTATGTATTACTTTAAATTTGCTTCTATTTAAAATATCGATTTGCCTCTGTGAACTCTTTAATAAACAGTATCTACTTCACTTTACTTTGAGGTTTTACATTTTAACTAATCTTTTTATTGATTTTTAGAAATTTCAGTGTTAAAAACCCCTTCAGGCTTAATGAGAAAGAGAAAGTACAAGGAACTGTAAACTAGCCAGCACTTGTAGCTGTTATCCCGGTGTCTGGATTAAGCACAATCTTCACTCCATGTACACGCTGTCTACACGGAGAAGGTGGACTCTGGGACAGCACCCCTGGCACCTTTCCTTCAGTGGAAAAATGAAACATGAGAAACAGATCAGATAAGGGGTACCTTTGCTGACATTTTGACAGAGAAAAGTTCACAGACAAATGTAAATGAAAAGGAGAGACAGAGAAGATGTAGGGAGAATCAGCTCTGAAGGCATTTTTTTTTTTTACAACAGACCAGTAAAACTCATCAAAAAGTTGACTCCAACTCATGGCAACCCTTGGTTTTGGTTTTTGATATTTTGAAAGTAAATTACCAAACCTTTCTTCTGAGGAGCCTCTGGGTGAAATCAAACCTCTAACCTTTCAGTTAGTAGCTGAGTAAGTTAACCATTTGCTCCATTCAGGGACTGTTTTTGAAAAGAGAGGGGCATGTTGATTTTCTACCTATAAATTACACAGGATTAAAAAACTGCCAGGTTGTTCCATGCTCCATCAACTCCTGCATCATAATTACAGTATTTCACCAATGGAACATAAGAGGGCCTATGTACAGTTTAAAGAATGAGGACCTAACAATCTTTGTGGTTTAAAATTGAAAGCACTATGCCAAAAAAATCAAAACTCATTGCCATTGAGTCAATTCCAACTCATGGTGACCCCATGTGTATCAGAGTAAAACTGTACTCCATAGAATTTCCAATGGCTATAATCCTAAAGAAGTAGATTGCCAGTGCTTTCTTCTGTGGTACCACTGAGTGAATTCAAATCTCTGTCTTGACCTCCAGTCTTTCTGTTTGTTGCCAAGAATTTGCGCCATGCAGGGGAAAGTGATATAAACTACCAGGAAGTATGTTGTTTACAATTTTGCAAGTTTGAGAAATGCCCCCATGTATAATAGACCATTAACACTGAGTAATATTTGCTAGACTAACTCAAGAGGAGAATGGTGTAACAGGCAAAGTGTAGAACTCTCAGAAAACAAAGGTTCCAGTCAAGATTAAAGACAGAGCCAGCTTTCTGGGTTGGTCAAGTGGGACATTCAAGAGGTGGCGTATTTTTGTTGCATTTGTAAAGGTTCTTCCCCCTCAAAGAAAGATTAAGACTCGAAGGAGGATTGACCTGGGAGTTTCTTGAGAAGGAGATCATGACTCATTTATTCTTTTTTTGTCTTCATATACATTTTGCCATTTCCTCACAGAAACCTATATTTCACATTCTTTACAGCTGAATGTTCTATTATATTTCAAGGAATTGCCAGAGCAGGAGGTTGGATCATCACAGGGCATGTTGTAAACATATGAGCGCTAGAGTGAGAGGATTCTTTTATCCAAGAATAATTAATACTAGGAAAAGCCCATTTAAGGATATGTCACTTTAAAATGGAATCAAAATTTTATAGTTATTCATTTTAAAATTTATTTGATTAGGATTTTATCTTGAAAATGTTAATTATGAATTAAGAAACTGTTGTTGTTAGGTGCCGCTGAGTCAGTTCTGACTCATAGACATCCAGTATGCAACAGAACAAACACTACCTGGTCCTGTGCCATCCTCACAATCCTTGCTATGTTGGAGCCTCTTGTTTCAGCTACAGTAGGATAATAATTGTGGTAGGCATAACAATGCCCCTTCCCAAAAGATGTTCACACCCTAATCCTGAGAACCTGTGAATATGTTATGTTACATGACAAGAGGACAGCAACGATTGTGGATGGAATTAAGATTGAATGGTGCAGTGACTTACTTACTATAGCTCTTCTAGCCATGGTCTTTGTGATTCCCACCAGATGCCTGGGTGAGGCTATACAAATATGAGGGACTCATGGCCCACCAAGAGGGTTGGATAGCTTGTTAATAATGTAAATATGGTAAATTTACTAAACAATTTGCTAATTGTCTAGGTCTCACATGCATATGAGGCGATTGAAAATACCATGGCTTGGGTTAGGCACACCGTAGTCGTCAAGGAGACATCTTTGCTCTTCAGCACTTTAAAGAGGTCTTTTGCAGATTTGCCCAGTGCAATATGTTGTCTGATGTCTTGAGTGCTGCTTCCATTGGTGTTGGTTGTTTATTCTAGATGGTAACCTCTAGAAGCTCAAAAAACCAAGAAAACATATCTCCTATAGAGCCTTCAGAAAGGAATGCAGCCCTGCTAACACCTTGATTTTAGTCTCATGAGACTCATTTCAGAATACTCCTCCAATACCATAAAATAGTAGATCTGTGTTGTTTTAAGCCATTAAATTTGTGGTATTTTACTACCTCAGCAATAAGGAACTAACACATTTTTTAATTGGAAGAAAATATACAATTAAGTACAAAATGTGTACAGCTTGAAGATTTGTCTGTCACACATTAATACAAAACTGTACCCAAATCCCAGATCAAGTTATAGAACATCTTATAAGACTCTCTTCTATGACTTGCTAGTTTGTGTGCCTCACCTCCAAAAGAAATTACTATTCTGACTTTTACAAACATTGATTAATTTTGCTTGATCTTAAACTAACAAAAATGAAATTATGTAGTTTATACTTTTTGGGGTTAGTTTCTTTTACCCAAGATAATATCTATGAGATTAATCCATGAAGAATAATAATCTGAAATATTATCAAAAATACTTTTTTTTTTTTTTTTTTCCTGGCAATGTCTATTACTCCTTTTACCCCTTTAGGAGAGAACTCAGCCACAGGAAACAAAGTACAGTTTTTACTTCCAATATAGGCTTTTATCGCTCATTTTAGACATAAGGGCTATGAAATCTAATGTTTTCATTAGCAAGTGCCAGGTTTTCCTGGAAGAAGAAAAGAATTTCATGTTCAAATGAGCCAAAACTGGAGCATTTTATAAGTTAGCTAGACACTAGGGGAATATAAGGACATAATGTAAGGACATTTTCTGAAATAGAGAAAAGAAATTTTAAAAAACCAGTACATACCAAGTAACTGTTCCCATCTGCTGTGATGTTACATAAGCACCATACCCCCATCACACAACCAGATACCATCCTGGGAGGAGGAGGAAGAGTAGCCCTGAGATCTAATCTTGTATGCATGGAACAAATGAAGAGAAACACCAGATTTGATTGTTTTTCAAAGGCCTAAGTTTTGATGATTTTGTAATATGAGATCCTTCTTTTCACAGTTCACCTTTTCACCATGAGCATAAAGGTATTATGCAGAAATATTTGTGGTTTAAACATTTTGATTTCCAAATTATTCTCTTTTCAAGTGCCTATCCCACATCATCCTTGCTGATTTTTACTTCTTCCAGCATAGCTTCTATGTTATTTAGGTGTTGTTAACACTCTTTTATTGGTTTCCTGGAACTCTGTATCCTTTGCAATCCTTGCAATTAATTTTCACTCTATCATCAGATACTTAAACTAGCCAATATCCTGACTGATCAATAATTCAGTCATGTGATATGAAGGAAAAGACATTGGCACTATGTTGGAGACAAAGTTTGAAAGGTGCATGATTTTACAGTTTGTTCTTTAGTAAAAAAAAATTTGTGTTATATTGCATTTGCTTCCTATACAAATTTGTGAACTTGGGGATTGAAACAACCAGTGTTTAAATAACAAGTGCACATCTGATGTTCCCCAGTGTTGGCTGGATCACAGAACTGAAACAAAGGAATGGTTGGAGATGAGGCTGAGTCTAGGGTGGTAAACAGGGTTAACAAGAGTTTGGAAGGAGTTTAGGGTTAAATAATTGACTCTTGTAAGCACAAAAAACAGATTGGAGGCCAATCATGAGGCAGAAAAACCTATTAGGAGTCTCTTGGAATCATTACAGCAAAAATGATGGGGGACAGACTTAAAGAAGAAGTGTGCAGATGGAGAAAAGAGGATGACTTCAGCTTATATAAAGTCCTTGGTAACTAACTGGACTAGGAATAGCTCAAGTGAAAGAAAGAGTATTAAAGAATGTATAGCTATCAATGTATTGTCCCTAAGCTCCAAATTCACCATTTACTGCCAGTTCTGTGAAAGGAAGACTGGCCATTTAAATAACTTTTCTTTGCCAGGAGGCACAATGTAAAGCTTTGTCAGTAAAAAGCAGTGGAGAGACATTACAGGAGAAAGGGGTTTCCCTTCATGGTTCCAGTGTGCTCTCTCAGCAGGCTCTTGTAATTTGCAGTATCTCCAGCACCAAGCTTGCAGTACATGGCTATCAGCAGTACCCTGTGGCCATCACTGCCTTATGACTAGAATACCCCTCAGGTGGTTTTGAGGCATATTTCCTCTCACAAGGCACCTCCACAGGAGTAGTTTTCTCAGCCCTTTTGAGGTGGAGTTCCAGCAAGTTTCACCAATGCAGTCCTCCAGTGACTTCTTTGACATCCAGTGAGCCATTGCCTGGATCTCAGCCCTGGAAGGGGGAAGGAAGTGTTCTTCCTGGCGTGCTCTAGGATAGCTGTAGGGTTAGTGGCTGCTCCTGTATCTTCTTATTCCTTTATTTTAGAGTTCACTTTACTTCTTACTGGAGTCCCTGAGTGGTGCAGTTAAAGTGCTTGGCTGCTGCCTGAAAGTTTAGAGGTTTGAATCTACCTGGGGAGCTCTGGTAGCGTAGTGCCTCAGGCACTTGACTGCTAACCAGAAGGATGGCAGTTCAAACCCACCAGCCACTCCTCCAAAGGAAGATGGGGCAATCTACTTCCGTAGTGATATTGCCTCGGAAACCCAAGGAGGGGTCGCTATGAGTTGGGTCCGACTACATGGCACATAACAACAACAAGAGAGAGTACTTGGAAGAAGCATATGGCAATCTACTTCTGCTTGTACTCTGACTGATAGAGGATACTCAAAAGAAAGACTTGAGCTAAAAACATTGATTTTGCAGAGAAAGAAATGGCCAGTTTTTCTATCTGCTTGTGGCCATTTCCTTCTCTACAAAATCAATGTTTTTAGTTCAAGTCTTTCTTTTGAGTATCCTCTATCAGTCAGAGTACAATCAGAAGTAGATGAGAGAGGTACTAGGAGCTCTGGTGGCATAGTGCCTAAGACACTTGACTGCTAACCAGAAGGTTCAAACCCACCAGCCACTACTTGGAAGGAAGATTGGACAATCTACTTCCGTAGAGATACCACCTCAGAAACCCAAGGAGGGGTCTCTATGAGTTGAATTGGCTCAACAGCAGTGAGTTTGCTTGTTTGTGTTTTAATGAGAGGTACTAGATTTAGTCTCAAGAATAACTGTACCTCTTTTGTTTAAGAAACTTCATTACTAGTCCTTTAGGTTTGAAAAGGGAAGCATCAGCTCAACCTAAATAGGAAAGTTTGAAACCTAGTAAAATAACAGGAATTTGGAAGTCATTCATTGCTAACTAGAGAAGATAGGTTATAGCTAGGAACCAAGAGATGCTCTTTGGAAGAATAGCAGAGTTAGACATAGCTGGCCCATGGAGACGGTCAGCAGCCTGGGGTGCAAGGAGAATGCTAGGGAGAACATTCTTTCAGCAGAAAGAGCCAAGAAATATTTAAAACTTTAAAATCTTAAATTAAGTTGCTCTCTTACTAATGTATACTGTAATACTATTATCCTGACATGTTGGATTCATGTGAAATGTGGCAGTTATGGAGGCATGCTGGTAAAATCTCCCTTCAAGAAGAAACTTGTCATTTATCTTCAAGAAGAGAAGTTAGCTGTAGCCTAAAATGGTTAGCATCTTAATACCTACCTTAGCTCTTGAGTTAAAGCTTCACTCTTCCTAAGCAGAGAGTAACTGATCATAGTGGGATACTAAGGCTTGGCCATTTCTGCCCATATGGGACTCCACTGAGAGACAATCTTTGCTTTGGAGTTCACTAGTAGAGTGGCTGAGACACTGTTAGATCTACATCTTAATCTGAGATATTCTCTATCCCATCTTGCTTCTTCTCCCTTTTCCCTTTCATAAGCATTATCATCAATAAAATTCTTAAATTCCCAACTTGCCCCAATGTCTGCTTTACAGAGGACAAGTTGGCACCAGTGTTACCAGAAATGATCTGAGAAAGCAATTGGTAAGATGAAATTCGAGGACTGGATCACTCTTTGACCAATGAGCTATGAATATTCCATCTTGGGTGATATAGAGGACATGGATAATACTCTAACAAAGGTGCCAGCCTGTTGTTGTTGTTGTTATGTGCCATCGAGTTGGACCCGATTCACAGCGGCCACTCCTTGGGTTTCTGAGGCAGTATCACTGCAGAAGTAGATTGCCTAACCTTCCTTCCAAGGAGTGGCTGGTGGGCTTGAACCACTGGCCTTCTGGTTAGCAGCCAAATGCCTTAGGCACTACAATACCAAAGCTCCTAGATGGTAGCCTAGTTGTTTAAATTTCACTGATGGTGACTTGGGGAATATTCCAGTAAAGAGGAATGTTCTGACCAATGAACTCATCCAGGTGTTTGTAATGTATGGGAAGAATAATATTTATAAAGATGAAAATTATCTGCTTGTTACTAAATTGTATTAATGGACTACCGAAGGATAATGAAAAGCTCAGTACAGTGAACAAACAGTAGAAAATTGAGAGAGAAGGTCAGAAGGCCTTTTTGGTAGCTTATAAAGAGGTCTTCACATTCTGCACTGGGAGAACAAAGACTCTGACGATATAACTCAGATTAATAGTATAAATGCTGAACTTTAAGAAAGTACTAAGGAAGATCTGGTAGCATAGTGCCTAAGGCACTTGACTGCTAACCAGAAGGCTGGCGGTTCAAACCCACCAGCCACTCCTTGGGAGGAAGATGGGGCAATCTACTTCCGTAGTGATACTGCCTTGGAAGCCCAAGGAGGGGTCGCTATGAGTCGGATCTGACTTGACAGCAAACAACAACAACAAGGAAGATCTGGTATGCCAGAATCAGTATCCTGTGAAGGGAAAACCCGGCATCCTTACACAAGGGAAAGGGACATCTAAGCAGACACCTGTACAGATTTTTGGCTCCTCAGACTCTTCTAAGAGCTCAGAGACTACAGAAGTGGCCCTTTCAAGAACTGACATTCCCTAATGTGCAAGAAAACACTACAAATACTTCTCATAAATAAGGCTACAAGGACTTCCCTCAGGATCTGCCCCAACCTCCTAGCCTTGTGCCAGGATGATAACTAGTGTTAAATCACACCATAACCCAGCCATAGATGTGCTTTACCTTTTGTAGGAAGAAATGGACTATATTCCAAAGTGTTGCAGAAAAAATAGCCACCATATACAAGCAGGAGCCAGGAGAGTACCAAGTCAGACTGGTTTTCAAGGATACCTAACGAGGAATGACATAAGACTGAAAATGAGATTTTGTTGACTCAAGACAACTCTCTTGATATAAAGGATTAATAGACAGCTAGCATGGTTGCTCCCGGGGCTGGCTTAGACATGGAATACACAGAGTCACTATACCAAAAAAATTGGCAGGTGATCATCCATTTCAGGAGGTTGCATATGATCAAGAACCAATGGTAATGAAGGAAGAAGTCAAAGCTGCACTAAAGGAATTGGCAATAAACAAGGCTCTGGGAATTGACAGAATGCCCATTGAGATGTTTCAAAAAATGGATGCTGCACTGGAGGCACATTATTTGGAAGGCAGCTACCTGGCCAACTGATTGGAAGAGATCCATATTTATACCCATTCCAAAGAAAGGTGATCCCATAGAATGTGGAAATTATCGAACAATTATCATTGATATAACATGCAAGTAAAATCTAATTGAAGATAATTCAAAAATCGTTGCAGCACTATATTGACAGAGAACTTCCAGAAATACAAGTTGGATTCAGAAAGGGATGTGAAGCAAGGGATATCATAGCTGATGTCAGATGGTTCTTGTCTCAAAGCAAAGAATACCAGAAAGATCTTTACTTGTGTTTTATTGACTATGCAAAGGCATTTGATTGTGTGGATCATAGCAAATTGTCAATCACATTGAGAAGAATGGGAATTCCAGAACACTTGATTGTACTCATGAGGAACCTGTACATAGACCAGGAGGCTGTTGTTCAAACATAGCAAGGGGATACTGTATTGTTTAAAATCAGGAAGGGAGTGTGTCAGAGTTGTATCCTTTCACCATACTTACTCACTCTGTATACTGAGCAAATAGTCCAAGAAGCTGGACTATATGAAAAAGAACATGGCATCAGGATTGGAGCAATGCTCATTAACAATCTGAGATACACAGATGACACAACTTTGCTTGCTGAAAGTGAGGATGACTTGGAGCACTTACTGTTGAAGATTAAAGACTACAGCCTGAAGTATGGATTCAATATAAAGAAAACAAAAATCCTCAGAACTGGACCAATAAGCAGCATCACAATCGATGGAGAAAAGATTAAAGTTGTCAAAGACTTCATATTACTTGGTTCTACAATCAAAGCCAATGGAAGCAGCAGTCAAGACATCAAAAGATGTATTGCATTGGACAAATCTGTTGCAAAAGATCTCTTTCAAATGCTGAAGAGCAAAGATGTCTCCTTGAAGACTAAGGTGTGCCTAACCCAAGCCATGGTATTTTCAATTGCCTGATATGCATGCAAGAGCTGGACAATGAATAAGGAAGACCAAAGAAGAGTTGATGCTTTTGAGTTGTGGTGTTGGTGAAGAATTCTGAAAATACCATGGACTGCTAGAAGAATAAACAAATCTGTTCTGGAAGAAGTGCAGCCAGAATGCTCCTTGGAAGAAAGAATGGCCAGACTTCATCTTATCTACTTTGGTCATGTTGTCATAAGGGACTGTTCTCTGGAGAAGGATGTCATTCTTGGTAGAGAGTCAATGAAAGAGGGGAAGGTCCTCAGCAAGATGGATTGACATGGTGGCTACAGCAATGGGCTTAGGTATAGTAGGGATCATGAGGCTGGCACAGGACTGGGCAGTATTTCATCCCGTTGTACATAAAGTCACGATGAGTTGGAGATGACTTGACAACACATAACAACAACTACAGCAACAGCATGGTTGCTAAAAATCTAGAGAAAGCAATGGTCTATGCCAAGTAAAGTTGAATGCCTAATGTGGTAGATGATGGCAAAAGGGATGAAAATGTTTGGAAAAATGGACACACTGGCATGAATATTATTTGAAGCTAGCAGACCCACCAGATGATTGTGTTTCATGGCAAGGGCTAGAAGTCACATCATTTACCAAGGCCATCAGGAATGTGCTGGAAGAGGGGCACTAAGTTCAGGGATGGCTCTCTTCTGTACATCAAGGCTAA